GATTTTATGAGAATTATGGATTGCCTTGCGTTAAACCGCCATTAAGTTAAAACAAGCCAACAGTGAGGCTGATGTCCCCCGCACATTTATCTTTTTCAAAGGTAACGAGCAATCAAACTGATTATCTATACTTAGCCTAAGCATAAAATATTCGATCAAACTCAGTCATGTTTTTCAAGTACCAGGTAGTGAAATTGTAAACAAAGTTTCATCACTCTCCATCAGTTAGAATCAGAGTTGTCTTGTCCCAAAGCATCGAACAATGAAATTGCTTAGCTTTAGATGGAAATGTTAATCATTGAAACTAGTCAAGACATTTACCTAATGGACATGTATGTACATCAGTTTAAACATTCTACCTCAATAAAAAGCAGAGTTGTTATGTTCCAAAGTCTTGACCATGTTAATCATTGAAACTAGTCAAGACATTTACCTAATGAACATGTATGTACATCAGTTTAAACATTCTACCTCAATTAAAAGCGGAGTTGTTATGTTCCAAAGTCTTGACCAATCAAATTGCTTATCGCTACTTCGCCTAAGCAGAAAAATGCCCAATATCTAATTGATGTAATGAAACTATACACAAAGTTTCATCACTCTCACTTAATTAGAACTAAAGTTATTGTGTCCCAAAGCATCAACCAATCAAATTGCTTATCTCTGCTTACCCTAAGCAGAAAATGCTCATCAAGGCCTACACCAAGTTTGAACATGCTAGCTCAGTTATTGTGTCCCAAAAAGTGTGACGGACAGACAGACAGACAGACCCATTTTAATCCCCCCCTGCTTTCTTCGAAGAACGGGGGACAATACAGAATAATTCACAGTACATGGCATGTAACAGCGTGTAGTCATTCGAATGGCACGAACACGCGAGGTCCCATGTAAATCATCGCTTTCACGTAAAATAACCCCCGACACAATTGCTGTCTTGACAAATGTCCCTCATAGCATAGGACGTTAAACCCCCATTTCATTCATTAAATTACAAAAGCAGAGCGGAGCTAACTGGAAACACTTATATGTATTGCCTATTTTTCAGATTTAACCCCGCTTATTTGAAATTGTAAGAAACTCAGTCTCGAATCCCATGTCTGTCGAGGCCGGTGTGTTAATTCATCGAGGCTAAAAGATGGAACAAATAACTCGGATGTCCAGGGTTTTTTAAATATTATCTTGTGTCGAGTGGTCGGAGGAATATTGCTATTTCACGAGGCTAATGCTTGTTATCGACAAGAAAAAAAAAGAACACACAGTTGCCATGAAAGATACACCCACATTTTGCAAGATATGGGCAGAGAACAAGCTAAAAAAGAGATTTTTCGTACAATCAGGGGCCATAATAAAGAATTCAAACGAAATCAAGATCTTTGGGATATAAACATATATTTTAAGATCTTTGGGTTATAAACATATATTTTAAGTTTCATCAAAATCTGATTGGGGGGTGGGGTTAAGGTCCACTCGACATAAACTAGGTCATTTCGGGACTAACATATGGTTCAATTTTATTTTAATGATTCGCTTGCGCGTAGGGGTCTTTAGCAGCAGTGGGGGGGGGGGGCGGAGAATACTCACGAGGTTGGACAAACTCTAGAGCGCCCACAAGCTAAAAACGCGTCTTTTCGTACAGACAGGGGTCATAATCCAGAATGTTACGGTCCGATATGTGCACATATAGAAAGGAAGAGGGATCTTTGGGATATAAACATACACATTTCATGTTTCATCGCAATCGGATCAAAATTGTGACCTCGAGAGTGTCCACATGCTAAAACGTGATTTTTCGTACAATAAGGGGCCATCATTCATAAAACTATTGACCGAAACATGCCAATATCGACAGGAACCGAGATCTTTGAGATATAAAACTATACTTCAAGTTTCAGAAAAATCGGATAAAAATTGTGACCTGTAGCGTGTCCACAAACAAAATTTGGACGGAAGGACAGGAATGACAACAAAATACGGCCACATAAAAATGTGTTCGTATAAAAATGAAAACTATTATTAACTGTTCGGGATGTCAGGGGTTTTAAGAAATAAAAGCCACTCGGGTTTTAACTTCGAGTACACACTGCTAGGGTGGTTACTTTCCAATTTCTATTAATACATAGCAATTGAAAACTGGAGTCAACATGGTAGTGTACCGTTAAAGACAACATCAGCTTGGCAAAGAAACTAATGTTGCTTTAATCTTTTATCATGTTATTAAATTCACAACAGAATGCCAACATCGTGTAAATTATTGTTAGATGGATTTCTGCATATTTCGCCATCACACCACCCACGTGTATACGCCTTCGTGATTTACAGTGGCGGTAACTGACGGTAGTAGAATTATTTCTGGCATCACAAAATGTGTTTATACAATGATAAAGAGGTGATATGCATTTAAAAGGCCGTAGAGTGGTAGGTAGGAAAGTCAAGGTGAAAACACATTAACGATTTATAGTGATAATACAAAATTAATGCTTAATGCTGTATTCGTTTCGGGAAAAATTGATAGAAACAATTTTCTAAATCAAGATTAGCTCTACACCCACGTTTAACGAAAATTTATTCTTTAACACTAGAAAATCAAATTTATGTCCAGTCTGAAAGCTACATTCTAAAACCATGCCCCATAAATTTTCTTATTGCCAATCTAAATTATATGGTCTTAATCTCCAAAATAGGATCCTCGATTTGTCACAATTGCTTTAAAGAGGCATAATTATTGTTACCAAGAACATAAATGTAATAAATATTGAATAATATCGTTAGATTCCGCTAATGACCAAAAATTCATACAATGATGTTAAATTTGTTTGTTATCTGTGGTGTGATTCGTGGCACTCGTAGCAATAAAAAGCAATTGAAAAAGTTAGTAAAATTGTCAGCCAAAATAAATACATCTTAGCTACTGCTTGGGAGATTCGTCTTGAATTTTGCATACAATATAATGTGAACATCGTATAGCCAAACTGAAAATTATTTTATTGCCAACTAAATGGGATATATTCGAGCGAGCCCAATGCTATTGAACAAACATTTTTAATTCAAATCTACTTGAACCTATAAACAATCGTGCTTTAATATTACATAATTATATCATTTGAAACAGGCACATCCTTACAGACCGCGGTGAGCCGGGCATAGTGTGTGGGATGTCTTCACCACCACCCATTTTCGCCCAAACGCAATGCATGACTGTTGCCACATGGGAGCAAGAGTTTACTATAATCTATGACGACGGATATTACATATCTATTGTGGCTCTGTTTTATCTGTGGCCATAAAACAGTTTGAACTCCACTGCGCTCAAAGCCTCCAACATTTAAGCCTGCAGCGAACATACAAATAGATAATGGGATAATTTCGTTATTTGTAATGTCAATATGATCTATGCAGGTCTAGGCTATGTGTCTGATATATACAAAAATACAGTCTACATTGTGCTATTTGATCTGGCAAATGTCCTACAAGTTTAATACATCTGTACACGTCTATTAGGTTCTCATATACAACTTCATTTTTAAATCTGCAATTCTGACGTTTGTTTTTTTTCTCTAGATTTTTGGCTCCAAAACAGACAGTTAGAGTTGAACAATAAACTCACGTCTGTTCATTTGTGTTGTAATATTATCTATCATGATTGGGCAGGGAGTTCAACGATTATGAATATCACCGATAGATTTTTTTTATCACGGCGAATTAATTCAGTTTAACTTTTAAAAACAAAACTATATCGTATCTAGACTCAACCATCACCATTAATTTCATAGTCAATGATATACAAAAGTACAATACACTTTGTACTCGAACTTTCATGTTCAATAATATACAAAAATACAATAAACAATTACATCAGTTGTACTCGAACCTTCATGTTCAATAATATACAAAAGTATCCAAAAAATGTAATATTAGATGTACTCAAACTTTCATGTTCAATGATATACAAAAGTCGAAAAAATGTTATATTAGATGTCCTCGAACTTTCATGTCCAATGATATACAAAGGTCAAAAATATATATATTAGCTGTACCCGAACTTTCATGTTAAAACTTATACTTTACATATGTACTTGAATTCGTAATAAGCGAGAAATGATATAACGTGTAATTAATTTATAAACTTGGTTTCATTTGATGACCAAATCTGCATGAATTAGTTTTATAAATATGAAGCAGTTTTATGAAGCCCATATATCAGTGTAAATTATTGGCAGTTTGATAAGACTTAATTAGAAATGTTAGCGTTTCTTTAATCACGATGTGAAATGATAAAACAAAGCCTTTTTAAAACATAAATGTTAGTTAGCTATGTGATTATTTAATAAGACATACTGGGGCATTTTGATTATTCTGGTCCAATCTAGAATTTATCCGATGAAGCAATGATGATACTTTCATGGTCTTGCCTATATTCAACAAAAGTAAACAGGATTTGATTTAGCAATTAAAATAAAAAGCAAGTACAAAGGTCCCCTCGACACCAGATGATGTTGACAGCTCGATTTACTCCAACTTTGCTTATCTCCAATACATGACAATTAAAGGAAAGGTGAAATAAATGAACACCAACTAGACATGTGTAAAAGCAAACGATGGTGTGCGATGATGCTATGAGATATCGTCGTGGAGCGTCTAACAATCGGGTTGCTCTTGTTCTGTATTTTACTTTTCATACAAAAATGATAAAATAAATACAACGAAGTTCAGTCACACGCTACACATCATTGTTTTGTTATAATACTTTTAGATAATGGCGCAAAACATAACACATTGGTCTACATTCGCAATCCATAATATTGCGGCGGTGTGAACATAAATGGTTTTTCCCCCATTTACTTAAAATAATGCCAATAAGTACATAAATTTAAGGACGAGATGTAGCAAGAAAAACATGGTTTTCGATGATAACAATAGATAATGGCATAAAAATATCATGGCACACGAGAATGACGCAGGTAAAAGAAGTTATCACTGTTAGTAAAGGAGGAAGAATAAAAGAGCGTAGTTGTATAAAGCAATTGTTTTATGAACTTAGCAACGTAAACAGGTACATCTGTACACTCGGCTAAAGATAAAAATTATATTTAGTTAAGTGAGAAAGAAACCATTTAGTGATATTGTTTACATACACACATCAAACGAGGTAAGACAAATACCCTTTATAGTTTTATAGGTTATTATTTAACTTTATTAATCAATTAGATATTAAAAACATTAGATTCATTAGTTACATTGTGGAGTTATTACCTATTTTTATTAATATCACTATTTTTCCTTATTACACTATTTTGCCTATACCGTTTTTTTAGGACCCCGAATTTTGTCTAATGGTTTGGATTGTTCGTACTTGGTTTTATTTTATTTAATACTTTATTATTATTTAATAATATTAAAATACAAATCTACGTTTAACGAAAATAAAAGCAAATCTATGGAATAATACAGATCATAATACTTTTAAATGAACATACATAATCTTTTATTTGATAACGTCCAATTAACGGAGTTGTATGTATCGGTTCTAGTCAATTCCGTACAATAATTTTCATTTTGAGAGTATAAAGTATGTGTTTATTGGGGGATATGAAAGATGTGTCGTGATAGGAGAGGACAAGTGGCCTCGAACATGATCATATAACAAGACAGAAATAGTTTGTCCAATAACTAATTAAAAGAAAAAAAAAAAGATAATGAAACAAAATGCAGCTTAACAGTTTTACAAGTTGAGATTAATTCCTTTTAAACCGAGATGCTGTTTCCTTATTCTTTATCGCGGTTTGTGGTATAAGTCAAGAATTTCTATTTTAAGCTAATGTTAGAAAGACGTATTGTGTTGTATCTATCCTTGCTATCATTCATAATATTTTTTTCAGAAATAATCATCATTTGCTGTTGTTTTACGCAGTGTTCTTCAAGATAACGGTGTTATACCAAATCTGTTTTATTCATAAGTACACGCATTATAATAGTCATGAATTTTTGTTTTATTGTCATTCATTCATTCATTCACTTATTCATTCAATAAGATATTAATCTATGTTGTCTTCCTATACTAATAGGGCGGGATATGGGGGGCGAATGACTATTTAAATATATATGTCCCACTTGATTGTTGTTACTAACTTGAATGTATAGATAACCCCCTTGGATAAAATTAGATAAGATTTATCATTACACCCATCAAGGGCAGCATACAAAGTTTACAGTTTAAACAAAAGTTGATCATACAATTATAATTTAACGTCTACTCCTCTAGAGTGATCATTTATGGATGCACAATGTTATACAATAAGTGTGTGGTCATATACATGTAAACACCAAACGAAAGTCGTTACAGAACAAAGAACGAAAAATATATAAACCTATGGTCCCATTTCATTATAAATTCTATGCTTTATGCCGTTTCATTCTGCTGTTCTGTAGCTTTATTCCATTGATATTTGTAATTGAAATTTTCAGACGGATACAATAGATCACTTATAATCAAAAAATGATTTCCTTGACAGCCGAGATCCTTATATATGTAAGACGGTAGCTATATAGCCGATTCTGCAACGAAACGCGAAATGGGTGGATGAGAAGTAGAGTATGTTAACGAATTCCCCTTTGGCTTAACAATGTGCCTAATAAATTTCAAAATATCATGTATGCTTTGGTACATGGTCAAAAATTAATGGCTTCACGAGCTCCCAAATATTAATATCGTTAACACCGTCGATGTAGAAATGCAGAACTTCTTATGCTTATCAGTATTGGTATCAGGTGTTGTAAAAAGATGATTGAAAAACCTCCTGGTCATAGCCCCCAACCCACACACAACTCCCCTCCCCCACGCCGAAAAATAACAATATGAAAACAAACAAACACAATGCAAAGCTTATGTTAGGGTGTTTGACATATCACGGAAATACACGCGTCAGATATTCGCCGAGTTACCGCCACAAAAACCACACTGGACAAAAAATATTTCATATTTAGTGTACATGGGCATATACAATGAGTAAAAAGCACCATTCTGTCCGGACCAGTCCACGTTAATTAAACATTGCACGCGTTATGATTGACGCCATTATATCGAATTTTATGCCTATATCCATGTTGCCTATATCTATCATATTTATATTATATATATCTATTGTAGACAATATCGAGATTACAAAACACCCCAATGCACCTTTCAATGATCAAACAATGACTTAATTGTTTACGTTTTCCTTTGAAGAAAACATGATAGGGAATACTAATTAAGTTATCTTTATAAATTTTTATTTAATTCATCATGGACGGACACATCCCTGATTTTATTTAATGTGTATGCGACATGCGTAGATCCTATCATGATTCTTTGTAATGCCATAATACACAAATTTCTAAGTGTACGCGTAAGAATCATCTGTAGTTCAATTGTAGCCATAGATAATGGATTCATAATCATAAACGCATATATTACGGACACCAAAACTAATAGACAGCTATGTGATATAATTATATTTTCTTAACTTCTTCAAATATTTTATATATTACCAGACAAATTTATTCTTATCAATAACGCAAATGAAAAGTTACCAAAACCCAACTTGACATGGATTCAGTGATAACACTTATCACCTCAAAGATTTACTAGAACTCGATTTGATGTGAATTCAATGATATCAATTGTGATCTCAAAGAGTCAATGAATATAATCTAATATTATTTCAATGTCATGTAGTGCACACCGAAATATTGCGTAATGTTTACGAAAGTTCATTATACCTGCCAAAACCACATAGAATAAAAAAAAACCCCAACAAACTCATCGGCCGTACGCCTATGAATGCAATATACTCATCTAATGTGCCTGAATTACATCCAGCACTGTAGGAGAAAAAAATGCGGTTTAACGTCCTGTGTTTGTACTAATAAAGAAGAGCATACGGTATGTCTTTTACCCGGACAGTGTGGTTTCCACCCACTCTCAGGGCTTCTTTTACGGGGCTCGGGTTTGCGTACCATCCGATCTTACGGCGTTGCAACTTCAATATGACCAATTTGATCATTCACTCAGTTTGTCCGCACTTTTAAGCTCTTAACATATATTTGTTTATTTTATTTTTTATAGTTACACCCGGGATGGAAAATACAGGCGTGGGAATTATCATCTTTTTCTTAATGCTCCACACTGAAGAGTCTTCTGGGAGGAAAGCCATCAATTTTTCAGAAAACAATATGCGACGTCTACACCAATTAGCTCTTCTTAAGGCTAGGATCCTGAACGGCCTTAACCTTCCTCTACCACCAAGTGTCAATGATACAAATGGTAAACCCCCGATCTCTGAGGTAGTTCTAACTCAGCTCCATTATCAGTCCGCTCTGGTGGCAAGTACTGGACCATCCGACAATATGGTCTTATTATTGCTATCAGAACCAACAGGTAAGCAATGAATGGGTTATTTCTTTTGTCTTTAAATTCAGCACTTACATTTCTGGGCCAACACCAGGATCGAAACCTGAATCTCTTAGTGGGTTAGCGACTTAATCATTGAGCCATCGTGGCTCCACGCCAGCAATAACATAGCCAGTGATCCCTATAACACTAAAGCCAACGAAATAGTCCCATGCAATGTGTTCAAAGAGAGCGAAAAATGAGGTTTAACATCCACTCAACACAAACTAGGTCATTTCGGGACTAGCATATGATTACTGAACGTACCAAATACAGAAAATTCTTTAAATTAAGATGAACGAAGTGTCGAGTAAACAGACAGCCGAAATATTAAACAAAAAGAAATGCTGGTATGATGTTTCCTCCTTTAAAGTCAAAAGTGACCTTGTAATAAATTTTTGATCTTTGTAATAGTTCATAAAGATACTATAATTATATAATGCAGACAAAACTTGACCTTTGTCATTACTATCAACATAGATATCAACATGTACTAAACAAAAACTTATATTGATTAGACAAGTAGGACATTACCCCTCCACCCCCCACCCCCGATCATATTTCGTGTTTTACATTGCCCTTATTGGAATACGTGGCGACAGGAAACGTCATTCCGAAACACTTACGGGGTGTGGGGGTGGTGCGAATGGTTTAAAGCGTTAGATCACAAGGTTAAACCGTGATCGTGACAAAATAAAATTCCGAGAATTGTTTTAAAGGACCGTGATTAACAAGATATTTGATTCATGGTCAAAGGTGATGAGTATAAACTTGCATTTCTTAAAACTGTCGCTAGATGTTAATTGGGAGAGGTGATGGTGGAGGGGGGGCGAAAGGGAGAAGAGACAGGTCATTTCGGGACTAACATGTGGTAGGGGTAATTTTATTTCAATAGGAAGAAACCAAGAGGAACGGGAGAAAACCTACGAGGTTAGGCAGGCGATCCTACTCCTTGTCACGTACAAGTGTGGGATCGAAACAGATGCACTCTTTCGGCCATTCGAACCTAATCACGCGACCCATTCTCAGCAGCATAAACGAAACACAAATAATATCTGGTTTAATTATATTGGACTTTTCTAACACTAAAAAAATTCAACTCTGGCATAAAGATGAAAATTAAACCAATTTTATCATTTACCATATACCAACAGTGTCTTCTATTTACAGATGAAAGCGATGTTGTTCAGTTTAACTTGAATGGAAATGCTGATGGATTTAGAAAGAAAGTGAAAAGCGTTCAGTTATTTATACGACTTGTAAATAAGAAACGACGCGATACAAATATGGAAGGAAAAAGACAAAAATCAAGAAAAATAAAGATTATCATTCGCGGATTTCATCCCAAGAAAAACAAAATGAAAAGACTTACCGTTAAGAAACTAAAAATACGAAAAGAAAAATGGCTGAATTTGAAGCTACCAGTTAAATTCATAAAGAAGGTTGCTAAATCGAAAAACAAAACACTTGCATTAAAGATATCATGTAAACGGTGCTCTAATTGGGTAGAAATGGACATGGCCTACAAAAATCGCCAAAATTATAATTCAAACACGACAAATGTTGTACCGGTACGCAAGAAAATGCTAAACGCCCAGCGTCCTTATATAATAATTCACAAAAAGATTTCCAAGAAAAAGTCGAAGAAAAAAAGACGGGCAAAGCGAGATTTGAGCGACACTTGTCAGTATGTGTCAAATGTGACGTCATGTTGTACTCAACCTTTGTATGTAAACTTTACTGAGATTGGTTGGTCCGATTGGATTATCTATCCTCAAGGTTTTACAACCGGAACATGTACAGGTTCGTGTTGGAATGGACGAAATTCACTTCCGGGGTCACTTGTGTGTTCGCCATCAGAGACAGGCGCACTAACTGTTGTGTATTATGCGAGCGATAATATCATCATTAGAAGAACAATACCGGACGTAATAGATGCGGCGTGCGCATGTCAGGAATCAACTTTGCCTCGAAAATAATAGCGGTGCAACTAGTTCGGGTAACGTCTGTGAAAATAAATGATTACAACACCAAGGGAAGTTTAAGGCAATGATTGAATTAAATATAAAAATAAACAAAGACAAGATAGAATGCGCAATGGGTGTCGTTTGGCATACAAAGATGGATTGTGTACTGTCTCATACACGATACCATTCAATACTTACAGTTTCATGACAAATGACATTTGTATTTTCAGAAGCAAATGTTTGTGGGTAGAAGGTAGCCGCCGAGCAAATAGTTATTATCATAAGTAAATTGTTGTTGAAATGTTTAAATGTATGTAAGGCAGCCGCGGTGACTCGGTGAGTTCGGCACTTGCTCACTAACCAGTAGATCCCGGGTTAGCCCCTGGTGTCTTCAAACGTGGTTTTCCTCTCTTCAGTGGTGGCCGAGCAAGGACAGTGTACACGTTGGCTTGCACATAAAAAAAAACATTGACAGTTGGAACTCGATATATATATATATATATATATATATATATGGAAGCCTATAATTATAAATCGTACTTCGTAGAAGTAGAAGTTACGACAAAATGTGAGGCAATAGCACTCTACACAAGCCAAAATCTAGTCGAAAATAGGAAATTAATTAAGAGATAAACACAACGTTTTGTCGTGATTTCTACTTTTCGACGTGCATTTTGGTTTGTGTAGCTTGATGTCGAATTTCGACATAGTCATATTTTTTTATTTATTATTGGTCAAATTTGATATTATTTGTTAGTGTAATATTATTTGATGTTGGAATCATTTGGCAGACTTACTGTAAACCATTACTTTGTAAACAATTAGATGCTGCGATTTTTCAACTAGTCACACAATGGAAACTACTGTCGCAGAATAACTGCCCCTGTCACTTAAACTGTAAATACTCTAGGGTCAGTATCTCTGGCTACGGGACTTTTGTTCTCAACTTTGGGTAGTCATTTATACGTGTTTTATGAAAAAATTTTTCGAATATTACGAAAAATCGTATTTTAACTTCAATTATTTACATTTTAATACTCAAACTGTCTTCGGTGATTTCCGTGACGTCCAGCGAACGTTGGGTGTCTTACGCGACCATTACGCGTAGCACATGCATATCACATATTTGGAGAAACATTTTAATACTCAAACTGTCTTCGGTGATTTCTGTGACGTCCAGCGAACGTTGGGTGTCTTACGCGACTATTACACGTAGCACATGCATATCACATATTTGGAGAAACGGACGTTAAATAAAACTACTTCAAACACATTTTATTCATATAAATATTTTCCCTTTTATTAAAACTACAAGGAGAAAACTCATTTGTCTGAGAAATGATATATTCATTAAAATATGTATAAAAGAAAAGCTTTAAGCCAAAGCTTCTGCTGTTTAATTGACAACTTATCATGTTTGTGCAATATTTAGTAATGTGTTCATTACGTAAGCCGTAGGTGACACACATAAACATATCTTATAGGTTTATCCATGCGATATAGAGCCTCACTTAATTCGATAAAACAAAGTCTTATATTAAAGGTCACATGTAATGGCCCATTCGTGTATCAAATTTGTTTTTATTCTAGACGTTTTATCAGAAATAAAGCTTTCATAATTATATTTTAGCGGGAAAATATCATTAGTTTGAAATAAATGTATGTTTTATAAGCCGATACCGGTTACTCCCCGCTAACGTGGAGCTTTGATATGACGACGTCAATTATGTCATAACGCCATTTATGGCTCTACGAATCGGTGTATTACGGCTTCTTTTCTTGTATTTTTTAACGGTATATTTTTTGGACTGGGAACTGGTCGCTAACTGCTACTTATCTTGTTCTTCTTCTTGGGGTGACGCTTTGAACAATTCTGTATCGATTTGGTGAATTAGATTTTTGAATTTCATCCTAAAAGCAAAGTTATGACGTCATAACTGTGTTAACCTTCGTTATAGAAACCTTTTCGAATTCTGTCTTTACAGTGTGATAGGTGTATATGCGCTTAAACAATAACGCTTCTGTATATGCAGAGAACAATACCTGGCCGTTAAAACTATATGTACCCGCATGAGGGATACTCTATGTACCATATTCTAAAACATCACGGTCAGTTCCTGGTCCATAGTACACTCGTACTAGTTATCCTACGGTTTCGAAGGTGGTCCAAAAGGCGTAGATTTGTATATACACAACTTTTGCCACAAAATATCACAGAATTGCGATTCTGTAAAGTCGACGGTCATTAATATTTAACAATTGTATGAACTGCAAACTCTCTATCTGCAGATAGTTCGAGACATACCAAGTGAAGAATGTGCTATGAAAGAAATTTGTTTCGTTCAGCGACGTTTCAGTCTACTCTTCGTCTAATTCTAACTGCCAAGGGTTCTAACACGTGGCTTTGGTTTTTCGTGTTCCTTGCCAGGCACCCCACCCTGCAAGCGGAAATCAGGCTACATCAGAATCTACACCTGGGCCGCTTGTTTAGTGACCCAACACCTTAGATGCCGAGCCACCGTGGCTCCCACAAAGTGTGTAAACACAGTGGAAAAGGCCATGCTTTAATTTGTGAATATAATGTCTTAGATTCGTGGTCCCGTGTACACATAGTGGTATACAATAGGGGGGATATTATTGAAATGTTATCATGTTAGACGTGACACATGAAAGGAAGGGATTAATTTAATATCCCCCACGACTTGTAAAGTAATTTGTACAGAAAGATTAGTAATCATTTCGACATCCTTTGATGTTGCAGTTCATCTGGCATTATGCAATAGCCCAGCTTAGTAATCATTTCGACAGCCTATGATGCTGCAGTTCACACGCCAAAACCTGTCGGTAGTTGATTGGCTAACGCTTTCTACCCAATTGGAGCATAACCCATCATCGACTGAATATTATCCAATCAGGCCACAGTGTGTGGGGGTTTAGTTTTCGCCGTTTGTTGACTGTTGGAGCTGGACAATGGCCAGTATCCGAGGGGTTATAACCTGCGTTCTGAGCGGTAGAGGACAGTTATGACCGGGGCGCCAAGAACACAAGTTAACTAACGAGTACACATGTATTATGAAATTAATATAGTTGGGTCATCAAGAGCCAATACTTTTACAAATGTCATGCACGTAAAAGAACCTTTGACAGTTGGAATTCGAAATAAGAGTAGGCCTTAGCGCCGCTGTCTGGGCAAAATTCCCCTTATAGCACATCGCATGGCGTATGTCAGTCTCCATTAGTCCAGTAGGAGCAGAACAGTAGGACGTTAAACTCCATTTCATTTCAATTTTACCTCTGCCAAAGATTCGGATGGAAAAGCCTGACTTAAGTTAATCTTATTAACGACAGGATATGACGCACGGGATGTACCATGCGAAGACATTATACTATATGTCCGCCTGGTACGGTGGTTTAATTATTATTTACGGGCGTCGGAACAGTACCCCACCCACATTAACATGCCAATATGTGTTCATTAGATTAATGAGACGAGTATCGGGTGAGGGAGGAATGAGGCGGGGTCTCTCATTGAGTCAAGTGTTCTAAATCCTGGCCTTTACTTGACAAGGATTATGATGAGTGGGTAGTTCACATCATATTTAAATGATCGGATTCGTAATATAATTTGGACTCAGTCTGGAGATGTTTAGGGAAATTGCCTTTGTGTTTTGGTTTCTCTGTTTAAAATGACTAAACTTAATGATAATAAACAAAATATATTAATTCACGATTCAAAGGCACATTCATTTGACAGGTTTTGGACCGGGAGAGAGAGAAAAAAAAAATAAAATGGGGTTTAACGTCCACACGACACAAACTAGGTCATTTCGGCACTAACATATGGTTTAATTTTATTTCAATAATTCGCTTGCGCGTAGGGGTCTTTAGTAGTGGGAGGAAACCGGAGGACCCGGAGAAACCCACGAGGCTGGACAGGCGACCCTACTCCTTGTCACGTACAACCGGGGATTCGAAACCACGCCAGTTGACTCAATGACAGGTCTTATGATACAGCACGCACGTGCTAACCATTCGGCCATCCAATTCACGATTCAAAGGCACATTCATTTGACAGGTTTTGGACCGGGAGAGAGAGAAAAAAAAAATAAAATGGGGTTTAACGTCCACACGACACAAACTAGGTCATTTCGGCACTAACATATGGTTTAATTTTATTTCAATAATTCGCTTGCGCGTAGGGGTCTTTAGTAGTGGGAGGAAACCGGAGGACCCGGAGAAACCCACGAGGCTGGACAGGCGACCCTACTCCTTGTCACGTACAACCGGGGATTCGAAACCACGCCAGTTGACTCAATGACAGGTCTTATGATACAGCACGCACGTGCTAACCATTCGGCCATCCAACCCCCCTTTGGACCGTGAGTACGCAGGGTTGTTGTAGCGCTTTGTTGATGCAGTGAGCAACCACAAAAAGACTATCACTAAGACATTTTTAGTTCTGATTAATTGATCGTAACTTTCTAAATGATAGGCAATATTTGGCGCAGTTACTTCCAGCCAAGCGACAATATTATGAACAATATATTTTCAGTACCGGAGTGATGCGAAAGTGTGGATTTGACCCACTCACAATGCGACTAGTTGGATTTTGTAAATATCAAGTCTAGAAAATATCAAAGATTTAACTAGAGCTGCAGTTGCGTCTTCAGTTATGAGATAACAATGGGGGGAATTATATATTTTAAGGTGTTTGTTTGTTCGTCCGAAATACTCTGTTAAGCCGTTTAACCATTTCAGCTTGTGCGCTTGTTCAAAGTTTAACTGAAAGTCAATTAACAAGCATATGACTGAAGACAATGGGGTGACAACACTCATGAAACGAGGTTACTGAATTGATCACGTTAGTTTGGTTCTTTGCGAGAAGTATGAACCAAAATTTTGTACTAATACGATTAAAAAAGTTGAGGATGAACGAAACATAGGATGTTGGTTGATTACCAAATCTTGCGGTAATGAAATGAAATAGGGTTTATCGTCCTCTTTTTCTGCACCTACTGGCCCAGACAGCAGCGCTACGGCCTACTCTTATTTCGAATGCCAGCTGTCAAAGGTTCTTTTACGTCCACCCAATCTGATGGATCTGGTGGATTCGTAGACAACCGAACAAAAATTGAATTAAATCTAAAACAGTTCAGTATTACAAGTTTTTTTACCATGATTTTTCTAATTATTGTCCCTCTGTCAGCCCACCGTCTCTCTGTCTGTCCGTCCGTCATACTTTTGGGGGCATAATAACTCTTCTTCTAATGGAGCTAGAATGTTCAAACTTGGTGAAGGTGTTTCTTAGGTCGATGCCTTGATGGAGTTTGAAGATGAGCATTTTCTGCTTAGGGTAAGCAGAGATAAGCAATTTGATTGGTTGATGCTTTGGGACAAGATATCTTTAGTTCTAATTAAATGAGAGTGATGAAACTTGGTTTATAGTTTCATCACATCAATACCTTGACTAAGTTCGATAATGGACATCAATAACTCGCCTTCAAACTTGGTGTAGGCGTTCATTAGCTGAATGTCTTGATGGAGTTCAATGATGAACATTTTCTGCTGATGGTAAGCAGAAATAAGCAATTTGATTGGTTGATGCTTTTGGACACGATGAATTTGGTTATAATTAAGTGAGAGCTATAAAACTCTGAGTATAGATTCATTATACCATTACCTTGACTAAGTTTGATGAGAATTGTTTGCTTAGGCTAAGGGGTGATAAGCAATCTGATTGGTCAAGACTTTGAGGTAGAATGTTTAAACTTAACGTTGGTGTCCATTAGATGAATGTCTTGAATGAGTTCAATGATTAACGTTTTCCGCTAAAGCTAAGCCGAGCTAAGTATTTTTTTTTTACTTTGATTCTATCTCATAGAGAGTGATGAAACTTAGTGTATAGTTGATAATCAGTTTGATTGCTCGATACTTTTGGAAAAAGATAAACGTGCAATTAATTAATATGTGTCATCTATTTATTTCGGGATTTCGGCGGGGAACATTAGCCTTACTGTTGGCTGGTTTTGTTTTAAATAATGCTAGGTTCCCACTATCACGATTCGTGCTGTAATTGACATCGTGGTTTTAATCGTGGTGATCCTATCAGGTCTTAACATATATTGAGCTCAGCAGTAGCAGTCGTGTTGATCGTATCGGATCGTGGACTCAATGGGGACAACCCTGTCGTAACGCATCGCACAACCGTGGGAACCTAGCATTAGCAAACAAGCTGCATCTGGCACATATAAGTTGAACTGAAAATGTTTTATTGGTGTTTGTTGTGTTCTAGAAAGCGTAAGCGTAATACTACCCTAATCCGTGAACGTGAATTTACGAAATATTGAAAAGCTTTAAACCGGACAATGTATAAGTCAACTTAAAAATCCCAATATTTACATCCACGACTCCAAACTCGTTATGGTCTTAAAAAGCTGCCATTACCACATTACTAACAAATATTATCACGTTAAAAGACAAATATTTCTCAATACACGCTAAATAGTGTAAAATTCCATTTGCCAGTCAATACTATTCCCAATCCAATATCTCTATTCAACCAAAATAATTTGATGTCTGTTGGTGTGAGTTTTATGCCAGGAATAAATCGACCGGATATAGAACCTTAAGCTAACCGGAAAAAGGGTGATAGTCGAGAGAAATAATGTTAAACAAAGCTTAAAGGTACAACCTCACTGTTACATACATCGTTAGAAATGAAATGAAATGGGACTTGATGTCCTACTTTTCTGCACCGACTGGGATAATAAAGACGGGCTACGGG